GACTTGGAGAGGATTCAAGCAGTCATGGAATGGGCTCCCCCACGCACCAGAAAGCAGCTGCGAAGTTTTCTGGGTTTCCCAAATTTCTATGGACAATTTATCCCCATCTTTGCAAAAATTGTGTTACCCATTACTGATCTACTAAAGACAAAAGGAGAAGTTAAACCAAAGCCTAGCCGGCCCCTTGAGTGGACCATGGAGTGCCAAGCAGCCTGTCAACTAAAAAGATACTCCTTTGGTCATTTTAGCTGCCAGAAAAAGGGTGTAGGGGAAAACAAGGCATTTTTCAAATGCCTAGATAATCACCTCGGCAGCCCAAAGTTGTTGGAGCATAAGGTTATTGGACAGCATGATGGATGACTCTTGGAGATGGACATGTCCCATTGGAGAAGTCACATCCAGGGGGTGGGGGAAAGACCAAGGTCAAGGGGGAAATGTATAATGTGATTTAGTATCGGCTGCACCCAGCCATGTGCCAACATGGCAATTTCTAATAAACCAATTTACTTTTTCTGAGATGCGGCTAGAGACTTTTGATTTGGATGAGGGTGGATTTGTTGGAGCCCTGACACAGCCTTTGAGAAAATGAAACAATTGTTTGCAGCTGAATCTGTCCTTAAACATCCTGACATGGATGCCCCCTTCGTGATCCAGGCCGATACCAGTGATATAGCTGTGGGGGCAGTTTTACTACAAGCCAACACTACTTGGGCTTTACAACCCTGTGCCTACACCTCCTGGAAACTAACTGAAACTGAAAAAAGATATGCAATTTGGGAGAAGGTCCGATGGGCCTTACTAATTTGGAGACATTTCCTAGAAGGGGCGAAACACCCATTTGAGGTATGGACGGATCACAAAAACCTTGAGCTGTGATGGCAAACCTATTGCACGTGTGCCACAGGTGGCACACAGAGCCATTTGTGCAGGCACGCGAGCCCCAGCCAACCTTACCTGCATTGTGCATGTGCCTGCGTCCAAACTGATTTCCGTACCATTTTGAGGCCGTTTCTGCAGCCTTTGGAGGCCAAAAAATGGGCCTGTTTTCTCTCAAGTCCCCAGATGGCGAAAACAGCCTCCCCTGGGCTCCAGAGGCCCTCCGGAAGCCGAAAACCGGCATTTCCAGTATTTCCAGAAGGCCCATTTTTTGGCCTCCCAAGGCTGCAGAGGCTTTCCTCAAGCCTCCGGGAGGGCAAAAACGGCCGCAAATGAGCCAAAAATCAGCTGGGAGGTGCATGCATATGCAGTGCAGGTAAGGGGGTGGGGGGGTGTTGCATGTGCATGCACTGGGTGCATTGCATTGTGGGTGCCAGCATGCATGCGCACTATTGGTACACAACAACAAAAAGGTTCGCCATCACTGAACTAGAGGCTTTAAAGACCCCTCCGAAAATTATCACCCAAGCAAATTCGTTGGGTGCAACATTTTAATCATTTTAATATCTTGTTGCGATTCCTTCCTGGGGGAAAGAACTTTATGGCAAACGCTTTATCTAGATTAGCCCAATATAATAATGCTCAGCCAGAAGTGATCCACCCTGTTGTCCCCTCCAAGCAACTGGCTGCTCCAGTTGTCACCAAAGCCGAGGAGAAGGGACTTTATTGCATCTCAGACAAATGGCTGCCCAATCTTTTCTTGAAGACCTCCAGTGAAGGAAACCCACAATTTTGGGAAGCAACTGTTTCAGTGATTAATTGTTCTTACTATCAGGAAATTTCTTCTTCCTTCTAGGTTGGATCTCTCTTTAACGAGCTTCCACCTACTGCTATTTGTCCTGCCTCAGGTGCTTTGGTGTGACAACCCCTCAAATAGTGGAAGAGAGCTATCATTTCACCTCTAATCAAGCCCTTCAGGAACTAGTATGTCTAGTCTAACAAAGAAAAGTACTAGGGGTGGCATGACAGCAATCTTCCAATACTTGAAGGCAGGGGTGGGATTCAAATTTTTTAACAACTGGTTCTGTGGGGGTGGCTTGGTTGGTGGTCATGGCTTAATTGGCTAGGTGGTCATGGCTAGGTGGCCATGTGACTGGTGTGGGTGTAGTTGGGTGGCCATGTGACTGGGTGGGCATGGCCAGATGGTCATGTGACTGGCAAACCAAATACTAGTGGTCCTTGCTTAATGGCCGGTTGCTTAACAAGTGTTCTGATTTATGATTGACCTCCCCAGAGTTACTTGATCTGTTTTTGGAGTTTTGACAGCCATGCACACACACACACACACACACACAAACACTCCCTTCTAACCCTGCTATTCTATGGTTTTGTAAGGATCTCCTGCTGGAGGAGGGGGTTGGACTAGAAGATGACCTCCAAGATCCCTGCCAGCCCTAGATTGCTATGCTGTTTCAAAGAGTGTTCTGAAGCCAGGGTTTGTGTCCCTCTCCTTTTTCTCTCTCTCTCCCTTCTTCCTCCCTGTATCCATCCATCATATATCTCATTCACTTTCTCCTCCCTCCCTCTTTTTTTCTTTCTTTCTGTCCCTTCTTTCCTTCCATCCCTCCCTTTGTCTATCCCTTTTCTTCCTTTCTCTTCATCTCTCCCTTTTTCTTTACCTTTTCTTTCTTTCTCTCCCTTCTTTCTCTCTTACTCTCTCATTCTCTTTCTCTCCCTTCCCTTCCTCCTTCCCTCTCTCCTTCTAAAGTTAGGAGACCCACCTAAAACAAAAACTCCTTTGGATGAAACCGGCTATTACACACACACACACACACACATATACACAGAGCTTCCAAACAGCTCTTGTGCCTCACCTCGTTGTTTGCTTTTAGCAACGGGCCAGTCACCGAAGTACTTTCCAAGTGTCCGGCAGCGTCCCTCGCCTCTTAGGAAAACCCGGGTGATTGGCATGTTGGAATTCCCTGCAGCACAGAGAAAAGTGATGAGGGTTCTTCCTGGCCAGTCTCTCAGGGACTGGCCACAAACAGACAATCATGCCCAGTTCTGCATTGCCCGGAAAGGCCAGCAGGCAAGCCTTCCAGGTCCAAAAAAGGGACCGTGAGTGGGACTTCCTCCCTTCCATCTTTTGAGATTTTCAAATAAAGAGCTATGAATTTCAAGCAAGGCGTGTGCTGCAGCCTCACCTATCCAGCCGGCAGCTCTGGGCTAGGCAGCAGTTCGGCTTTCCTGACTGCCTGCAACCTTACCTTCCTCCCGCAGCTGGTGGCAGAGGGAAAGGCGAGCCAGCCAGGGCAGAGTCATTGCCACTCGGCTCCCCGCCAGTCCGCATCTTGTCCCCTGCCTGGATTCTCTGCAGCTGCTGGGGCTTGCCTGCTGGGGGGTGGGGGCGACCAGGGAGCATGAGGCTATGCCACCTGCAATGCCCCTCTGCCAGCCACTCTTCTCTCACTGGGCCAAGTGCAGGCTGCCGCTGTGAGAACAGTGCAAGCACCATGGGCTGGAAGGTAAGGCTGACAGGGAAGGAAGATCCACTCTGGCGAGGCTTGACTGCCTTTTGGGCCCTGCTCTGGGCTGCCACCTGCTTGATCTCCACTCCGCCTCAGATCCTGCATCAGCCTGCGACAGGGGGACATGCCGCTTCCAGGCCAGCCTGGCTGGCAGATGGGTGAGCGGTCAACCCTCAGGGGAGGCATTTTCTCTCAGGCCTCCCACATGGAGGGCCCTGTGGAAGCTGAAGCTCTGCTCGAAAGGTAGCCTCACCTTGCCATGTACCCCACCTCATTGAGGCAGCCCTTTGGCTGAACGCAGCAAACCCGGTGTAGATCTTCCTTCCCCGCTGTCAGCATTAGGGCTTGTACTATTCTCACAGCAGCAGTCTGCACTTGGCCAAAGCACGCAGGCTGGTGGGAGGGAGAGGGAAGGGGGCGATGCGGGCGGCATAGCGGCCTGCTCCCACCCCTGGCAGGCAAGGCCCAGAAGCTGTGGAGAATCCAGGCGGGGTGGGGGGGTGAGATGCAGGCTGATGGGGACCCAAGCAGTGATGGGTCAGCCCTGGCTTGCCTTCCTCTCTGCCACCAGCAAGCCAGGCAAGCTGAGGGCCGGGGATAGTGGGGGAGCTGCTAGCTAGGCCGCAAGCATCATGTGGGATGGAGCTGCGGCGCCGGTGGCAAAACAAGCCAGGGAGGGACATTGTGGAGGTAGATAGCTAGGCCGTGAGTGCCATGGGTGGTGGCAGCGCAGCGGTGGCGGCCCGGAAGTTGGGATTCAACCAGGGCTGGTGGCGGTGGCAGGTAGGCGACTGGAGCTTGCAGAGCCTCACTCACCCAGGAAGATCAAATCAGGCATGGCCGCAGTGGAAGGCAGGCAGCGATGGCTGGCTGGCTGGCAGGAGTGCAGGCGAAGGCAGACTGCAGGCAGCAATGGTGGGAGGGAGAATGTAGGCAGCGATGGCACGCATGTGCAATAAGTAGTGACTGGGCAGGGTAGGGTGGGGCCAGTCAGTGGCGCAATTTGCCAGTTCTCCGAACTGCGCAGAATCGTAACAACCAGTTCTCCCGAACCAGTCCAAACCAATAGAATCCCACCACTGCTTAAGGGGCTGTTACAGAGAGGAGGGGATCAATCTATTCTCCAAAGCATCTGAGGGCAACGCAAGAAGTTACAGGTTGAAATTTCTGACTCTCAATCCTTATCTCATTTCTTTAAATGCATGAATAAATACAATCAGTTTAAACAATAGGTAAATGGCTTTATAGTATTGAGGCCTTAATTATTATGGGAAATCTCATCATTATCATTTTAGCCATAGAAATTTGATAAATAAATTACTAAGAGTTTCACTTCACAGGAAGTCCTTGTTAGTAACAATTGGGTCCTGCAACTTGGTCAATAAGCGAAGCAGCCATTAAGTGAAACCACAACTGTGCTTATGCTCTTCACTTGTTTTTTGCTTTATACATCAGCAAACACTGCATATGTAAACATTGGTTGCAAATTTAGTTTGCCATCATCATAATTGTGAATAGTTACTAAATGAGGCAGTCACTAAATAAGGACTGCCTGTATTACTTTTACATCTATTAGCTGAACTTAAATACACGTGGTCCTTGACAAAAAAAACTTTTATTGGAAAAATAGCAGGTTATAAATAAGTTGTTCTCAGGCATTTTCAGAGGTATTCCATTCCTGCTTGCCTTAATTGCTTTAGCTGATAAAGATGTATTAGCTGGGACTAGGATAATTAGAAGAATTGAATCCTAAAGTGTGGATTCCAGGTCTACTTAAGAAACTTGGACAGATCTTCCTTGATTTCAGCTTCATCCCAAGGCCCATGGATATTGTCTTTGAAGAGTTGCAGTCTAATGAGGCAATAAGGGCACAGACATGAGATGGTAATCAAAAGGAGGGCAAAAAGAACAGTGCCAACGCTGGAAATGGTTAGCAGTCCCATCAAGGCAGATAAAGCAAAGAGTAAGGTAGCTGTCATATAACAATGGGGGGTTTGAGCTTTGAGCTTCTTCTGTAGCATAGGCCATAGGGCAAATATCTGGATAGCAAATGTCACCATGACAAAGGCATGTAAGGACCGTGGCAACCGTGAGGCTAAGCAGACTGAAGCAAAGATAGCCATGTTGAGGGACAATGTACTGGATACAATAGCTGCATTTGCCCCATAATCATAAAAGATCAAATGTCCTAGGAGCATAAGGGCAGACATAGCATAAATTGTATCAGTGCTGATAGACTCAGTTAAGGTCTTTAGGATAGGAGAGAAGCCATAGGTGAATGCCACAAATACCACAGAATTCTTCAGATCTCCCCATCGTGTCTGCCCACTTTGATTTCTCTCTATTCCTGAATCAGTGGCATCAAAGAGTACATAACCAATCAGGGAAGCAATCAAGCCAGCTCCAAACAGCCACTGGGGAGCCAACAGGCCCATATCCATGTACCACCAGATGACAATGAAGACACAGACGCTACATAGTTGTTGTATCACCACTCCAGATTCAAACACCACTGCCCAGTACTGATACTTGCGTGCATGGATATTCTTGCGCAACTTCTCTAAGAAACTTTGATCCACATAGTTATCAGGAAATGACTGCCTCTTGTACAACACTTTCTGCCAACGTTGCCTTATGGTATGTTCCAGTTGGACACACAATACATTTCTCGCCATTGCCTCATAGTTCTTCACAATCTCATGTTATGATGGAGTTCATATTATCTGGAAACAAAATAATTTACCAGTGGATTGGTAGATAACTGGTCACCACATATATAAAAAATTTCCAACAATTTAATCAATTAAAAAAATGTTCCCACTGAGGGTGGATGGTTTGATTGGTACTCATAAGGCAGATCAGAAAGAAAGAAAAACGCAGGGCTCTTTGGAATTAGAGAAACCAAAAGGGCTTATATCTTTCGATGAAACTGAGTATCTACTACATTGAGAAGTGTATAAAGAAGAGAGAAGAGACAAGCTTTACCGTTACACAACAATCTTATTTATAATTGTGATATTTTCTGGCTATGAAAAATTCCTTTGACAACTGCTATCAATGTTTACAACATTGGTAATCAGTGCAGAGAGACTGCACCTCTTACTTATGTGTTTCCATTTTATGAACAGTTGCTCCCAACCTATTCATTGTATCTAAGGGATTTCTGGTCTTAATTCACCTTACGAATTAAGGAAGGCTATTTTAGAAGTACCATGCCCTTTGTGCAAATAAAGGTGGGATAAAAGTAATAAATTTAGCAAGTTGTTTTTCCCGTTAAGTTTGATTCTACAGCTTCTCTGCCATCATTCTACAGCCCCCTCCCCCCACACCTATAACTGTGATAAAGAGTTCTTTCTATTTCCGAAATATTTGAACGGAGGGTTCTTACTATGCGCCATTCCGTAAACACTACAAAATTAATTTGTGCAGCAAAATTAATTTCTGTTGGTACACAATGAATACTCTAATGCCAGTGTAAGGCATAATTTGCCTTTCGAGAAAGGCAGTCCTAAGACTGCAATCAAGATAGATGGAAAACCATGGAATAAACAGGGGTCCTTTTGGTGGTAGGCTTCATTCCAGCTTCCGGGCTGGAGTCACGCGCCTGCTGCCCCCTGTACTGGTGTTACTTTCAAAACAAATACTCTTTCGTTCTCTCCATGTTGAAATAACTGTGCTGTCATTTTTCTGTAGTCAATACTAGAGATCCCAGCTATCGTGAGAAACCAGAACGGAAAAAGGAGCTTTTTAAATAAAATAATAATAATAAAAAATCCGACCCTCCCTTACCTTGCCTAGAATGTATGTCGGAAAAGGAAATTTTGCTGTGACGACACATCCGGCTGTGGGTGAATTCATGTTGCCCTCTGCTGGCCAATTTATGGTCAAAACGCTTGCAAGCCGTTTATTACAAGATTTGGGGCCTCGCAATTGCTTTTAACGATCGAATATGGAAGTTGCGTGTGCTAGAGTGGGTTGTAAATATATTTGAATATAAAAGAGATTACATGTTGTGAAGCATGATAGATTTGGATACACAGTTGCTTGGGTATGCATTTTATTGAATATTATAGCGGACTGTTCCAGATTAACAGAGTTGGAAGGGACCTGAACTGTGGGCAAGATGGGCATTCAGTGATTATTCCAAATTGAAACCGACTCTCTCCTAAAACCTGGTCTTTAAAACACACTTTTGCATTAAAAAAAATCATACCTCAAAAGAAATATATTGGACAATGCATAATCTCTACAGATTACAAATTAACAGAGTTGGAAGGTACACTATAGGTCATCTAGCCCAACCCCCACCCAAGCAGGAGACCCTACACCATTTCTGACAAATGGCAGTCCAATCTCTTCTTGAAAGTCTCAAGTGATGAAGATCCCACAACTTCCAAAGGCAAGCTGTTCCATTGGTTGATTATTCTCACTGTCAGAAAAGTTCTCCTTATTTCCAGGTTAAATCTCTCCTTGTTCAGTTTCCATCCATTATTCCTTGTCTGGCCTACAGGTGCTTTAGAAAATAGCTTGACCCTTCCTCTCTGTCCCAGCCCCTCAAATATTGAAAGACTGCTATCATGTCTCTCCTGGTCCTTCTCTTCACTAGACTAGCCGTGCCCATTTCCTGTAACCATTCTTCATGCTTTAGTCTCCAGTCCCCTAATCATCCTGGTTGCTCTTCTCTGCACTTCTTCTAGTCTCAACATCTTTTTTATAGTGTGGTGACCAAAATGGGATGTAATATTCTAGGTGTTGTCTTACTAAGGCTTTATAGACTGATATTGGTACCTCACTTGATCTTGATTGTATCCCTCTGTTAATACAATTTAGGATTGTAGTGGCTTTTTTTGGCTGCCGCTGCACACTGCTGGCTCATATTTAGCTGGTTGTCCACTAAGACTCCAAGATCCCTCTCACAGTTACTGCTATTAAGCCTGATTTCACACAGTCTATATGTTTACTTTTGGTTTTTCTTGCCTAAGTGTAGGGCTTTACTTTTCTCTACATTGAATTTCATTTTGTTAAGATACAGCCCAGTGTTTGAGCCTATCTTCTTGGGTGTTAGCTATCCCTGCCGGCTTAGTATCATCTGCAAATTTGGTAAGTTCCCCTTCTATTCCCTCACTAAGTCGTTAATAAAGATATTGAAGAATACTGGGCCTAAGACGGAACCTTGTGGCACCCCACTGCTTACTTCCCTCCATGTAGACTTAGACCCATTAAGGACTACTCGTTGAGTACGGTTTGTCAGCCAGTTGCGAATCCATCTGGCGGTGATGCTATCTATCTCACTTTTTTCTAGCTTACCAAGAAGTAGGTTGTGGTCTATTTTGTCGAATGCCTTGCTGAATACAGTATTTCACTGGTCTACTAATTTAATCACTATATTGAAGAATGAAATAAGATTGGTTTGGCATGATCTGTTTTTAACAAACCTGTGCTGACTGCTAGTTATTACTTTACTTGTTTCTAGATGTTGGCAGATCTTTTTTTAAATTAGCTTTTCCAGTATCTTCCCAGTATTGGTGTTAGACTGATTGGTCTGCAGTTTCCTGGGTCTATTTTTTCCCCATTTTTGAAGATGGGAATCATATCAGCTCTTTTCCAGTCCTCAGGTAATTCCCTGGTGCTCCAGGATTTTTGAAAGATGTGGTGCTGTGGTTCTGAGATGACCTCTACCAGCTCCTTTAGAACTCTGGGATGTAATCTGTCAGGTCCCAAATGTCCATCTGGGTTCAGTTCCAAGTGGGAAGACACTGGAAATATGGAGACTGCTTGGAAGGATGGTTTAATGGTGGACAGGACCACATGGCTTGAGGTCCTGGGCAAAATCAAGCAAATGGGTGAGAGAGGGAGATTTATACCCTCTGTTGGGCTTTGAACTTGCTTCCTGTTGCTGTGGCAAGAAATGTATCCTAATTGGTTGTTAGACTCCCATGGGGCCATGCAGGGATCACTTTGTAGGTTGTCTTGAGTCCCAGGCTTGTTTGAATCTTGCTGGGTGATGTAATGAAGGTGTCAGTGTTCCAGAAAAATCCACTCCAATTAAAACCTCTGAGACAGGCATTTTCTCAAAGTTTCCTTTTATTAGTGTAATTATACTGGCACATCTGGGAAAACCCAAAGTTCCAAGTTTTCTTCCAATAAGTAAAAATTTACAAATCCACCCCCTGCACCCATCATTCCACCACATGCCCCAATTACCATCCGTTCCAACTTGAGACATCCCCTCTGCTACTGTACCTCAGTCAGGTGCAGGAATAACATGACCTTGACTTTAAAGAAGAATGCTATTACGTCTAACCACATACGCTCCATGAAATTCCCCCTCCCAACTTCCCATGCTCAAGAATGTGGCAGCATGAGAAGGCGGAGTCTCGTCGCTGCGATACAGCTGCTATCTCGGGGCTCTGAGATAGCTGCTGATATCCCCGCTCCTGGTCGGTTCCAACGGACCTAAACCGTCCCGTAGAGACGATGATAGTAAGGGGCGCATTCTGTAGATCCCAGGGGACATCGCAAGTCCCTGGTTGATCCAGAAGAAGCCCTTTTACCATCGGCGGGGAGGCAGCCATTAAGCTGCTGAAGCTGGGACAGCTCCGGAAGGAAGAGATCGTAAGAGAAAGTGTATCGGTTTGGTGAGAACTTTTTTTTTTTTTTTAATATTAATATTGGGACTAAAGGACACTCTAAGAATGAGAAGAAAACTGTAAGATTATTGACAAAACTGACTTAGCGGCGATTTTCAAAGAGAAATGTCAAAGTGAGGCTTGGCTTTTTATTTTTACCTTTTTTTTTTTCTTTCATTGAACTTCTATGGTGATCTAGTTAAGCAGACTGGTTTTTTCTTTTATATTTACTAGTTCTTTTTTCTCCTTTTTGACTGTTTATATTTTATAAAATAGAGGCCCCCTTTAGTTTTGTTCTTTTTTTAAATTAAATATATATATTTTTGTTCTTTTTTAGGCTTTTTTAAGGGGGAAGAAGGGGGAGTGGTTTTAAGAAATTTTGCAACACTGCCAACTAGAGGCTTGAAAATATTTTATTTGAAGTTGAGAGCTGGGAAAAAACTTCTTCAAGGCTATTGAAGTGATAAGATAAAGGGAAGATAGAGGGAAGAGTACTGGAGGATGTTTATACAGGTGCTCTTCGGGACTTCTATTATTAATTGAATATCTGAAGCTTGGCTTTGAAATGTGTCGAGAAGCCAAATAAGAGCCTTGGATAAATAAAAGGCAGTGGGTGTTTTTTTTTATTCTTTATTTTTTATCAATTGTTCTATCCCTCCCCCCCAACCCCACAGCATTTTGTAATATTGGTATACTTATTTTTATTTTTTATTTTACCTCATTTTTAGTTTATTTTTAAAGGGGAAGCCTCAGAATATTTATTTTTTCCTTTTTATTTTTTTTTATTGGGATTTTTGCTTTCTTATTTCTACTTCTGACTTATTTTTATGGATATTTTTTATTTTTGAGATCTCTCAATTGGATTAAGGTGGGAAGAACCTGAAGAACTTCTTCTTTTTGTTTATTATTATTATTATTATTATTATTATTATTATTATTATTATTATTATTATTATTATTATTATTATTATT